TTTCAACTTTGCCTTAGAATATGCACTTAGGAAGGTCCAGGAAAACCAGGTGGGACTGAAATTAAACGGGACACATCAGCTGTTGGTCTATGCCGATGATGTGAATCTACTGGGTGATAATGTAGATACCATAAAGAAAAACACACAAACTTTAATTGACGCAAGTAAAGAGGTTGGTCTAGAAGTAAACACAGAGAAAACTAAGTATATGTTACAGTCTTGTCACCAAAATGCAGAGCAAAATCATGACATAAAGATAGGAAACAGATGTTTTGAAAATGTGGCACAGTTCAGATATTTGGGAACAACGATAACAGATTGAAACCTGATTCAGGAGGAAATTAAGAAGCTATTGAACTCGGCTAATGCTTGCTACCATGCAGTCCAGAAGCTTTTGTCTTCTCGTCTGCTGTCCAAAAACATAAAAATTAGAATATACAAAACTATAATTTTGCCTGTGGTTCTGTATGGGTGTGAAACTTTTTCTCTGACATTAAGGAAGGAACATAGACTGAGGATGTTTGAGAACAAGGTGTTGAGGAGAATATTTGGACCGAATAGAGATGAAGTGACAGGAGGTTGGAGAAAACTGCATAATGAGGAGCTTCATAACTTGTACTCTTCTCCAAGTATAATTAGAATTATCAAGTCAAGGAGGATGAGGTGGGCAGGTCATGTAGCACAAATGGGGGAGACGAGGAATGCATATAGGATATTGGTGGGAAAGCCAGAAGGAAAGAGACCACAGGGAAGACCAAGGCGCAGGTGGGTGAACAATATTATAATGGTTCTCAGAGAGATAGGATGGGATGGTATTGATTTGATAGATCTGGCTCAGGATAGGGACCAGTGGAGGGCTCTTGTGAACACAGTAATGAACCTTCGGGTTCCATAAAATGCTGGGAAATTCTTGAGTAGCTGCAGATTTGGCTTCTCCTCAAGAAGGGCTCAACTCCATACGTAAATAAGTAAGTAAGCGGGTATCTGAAATCCCAAGTTTTCAAAGCTCCTGCACCCCCACACAGTTCAGGAGCTGAACATCCAATTCGGGCAGAAGTTCAAAGAATTCCTGTAGAGATGCTGCAGAGAGTAATGACTGACTTTAGGAAGAGACTTACCGAGTGCCTACAGAGGAATGGTGATCATCTGACGGATGTTATTTTTGGGAAATAGACTTCTGTTTTCAGTGAGTTAATTGAGAAAATACCAGATGCTTTTATGTTTACCCTGTATTCATATGTGTTAAAACCAAATAAATATAAGAGTTTACATTTCATAACGTTTATAAAATCGCCTGATTCATTGACGCACCCTGCATTTTCATTGTATATATGCAGCAGGATGCAAGCCTTAAAAATAAAAACGAAAAATGCAAATATGAACACTGTATAGACAACTATACAGACAGCTATAACAACACACATAACATTCATGCATTGACTGAAAATGACATGACATGCATTGACTCCACACACACATGAGGCCTAACACTAGTAATGCAACAGGACGCTTAAGCACAACATTACAGCAGCTTGTTTCAAATTTGGTTGTCCCTTGTCAGTATGGAATGGGACATTATGAGGTTTTGAACTGAAGTAATAATGGCTTCCAGGTGTGAAGGGTACCAGTAACTATATTGAATAAGGCATTGTTTCATGGCAAAGTGAAAATCATGATATTGGTCTAAATATTTGATACAGAAGGAACTGAGTTTCTGTTATTCATATTAATAATACCTTTATGAATACAACTGACACATTCAAACTGTCAGGATTCATGTTTTAGTATTGTGTGCAACTTTAATTAAAGTTGAGCATCATAAAATAACAAAAGGAATTAATTTTTACATATTAATGAACATTTTTATAATATTTTTGTCAACATTACAGACTTCTGGGATGTGATGCTCTGTATTCTGGAATATAGGCACCAGCATGGTCTTTGAAATGTTAGTTTAGCTCCAGCATCATCCCAGAAGACCATAATTTTAGTACTGCCATATGAACTTTAAAATCTCATATAATATTTCTGTGTTTCTTACACAGGTCATGTACTGCAGTGAAGAATGTCGTACTTCATCTTGGATTAATAACCATTACATTGATTGCCCTCTGTTGGGTGTTTTACAGAAACTTGAAATAGGTAAAATGGGGTTCCTAGCACTGAGGATCATAATAAAGGTCTGTAAAGGTCAAAACCTTGCGAGCCTGCTGAAGTCAGTAGAAGATGAAAGTAGAGGGAGTGAGAGGAACAAGGGTTTTAATAACAATGGTACATACAGCTCTTCAAATTATAGGCCCATATATTGGTTGGTAGAAAACACAGAGAAACGATCTGTTGGTGATTTATTTAGGCGAGCTGTCATGGCAGCTTGTATCCTCAACTGTTTGGAGACAATGACAGATTTCTTTCCCATTGATGCAACTTCTTCATCTGAGTCCTCTCACCAAAAACTACTTGTTGGAGGTTTATTGTTACGACACCTGCAGAACTTGCCTTGCAATGCTCATGAGGTCTCAGAACTGGTTAGAATTGAAGCAGGGAATGACAAGGAAGGTGTGCCCATATGGAAGAGCATTGAAATTGGAGCTGCAGCATACGCAATGCTGAGTTTATTGAACCACTCGTGTGACCCAAATGTTGTTCGGCATAGCTACCAAGGGGACACAGCTGTGCTGCGGGCAATCTCTCTGGTTGCAAAAGGTGAACAGGTGAGAGAACTGCCAAACATTGAAATGTATTATATCTCCTGTTGCTCAGTATAATTTGTTCAGTTGATATCAGAAATCATAATGGTTGTAAAAGCTTTGATTTCTGCATCAATATTGATGAGTAAAATCAGTTTCGTCAACAGTTTTCTAAGGAATTGATATTTTTCTGTGAGGTGGTACTTCCACACACATAAACAAACCCATAATCCTTTATTTACTCTTGGAGAATACATGGTCAGGATTTCATGTTTCATATCAAGAAACTTTCTGTTATCTTGGGAAAAAATCCTAAGAGATCCCAATTACTTACTTACTCATGGAGCTGAACCCTTCTGGAGGAGCCGCCAATTCTGCAGGTACCCAAGAATTTCCCAGCACTTTATGGAATCCAAGGGTTCATTACTGTGTTCACAAGAGCCCTCCACTGGTCCCTATCCTGAGCCAGATCTATCCAGTCAATACCATCCCATCCTATCTCTCTAAGATCCATTATAATATTGTCCCCCCACCTGCACCTTGGTCTTCCCTGTGGTCTCCTTCCTTCTGGCTTTCCCACCAATATCCTATATGCATTCCTTGTCTCTCCCATTCCTCCTATGTGACCTGCCCACCTCATCCTCCTTGACTTGATCATTCTAGTTATACTTGGAGAAGAGTACAAGTTATGAAGCTCCTCATTATGCAGTTTACACCAACCTCCTGTCACTTCATCTCTCTTTGGTCCAAGTATTCTCCTCTGTTCTCAAACATCCTCAGTCTATGTTCCTTCCTTAATGTCAGAGACCAAGTTTCACACCCATACAGAACCACAGGCGAAATTATAGTTTTGTATATTCTAATTTTTATGTTTTTGGACAGCGGATGAGAAGACAAAAGGTTCTGGACTGCATGGTAGCAAGCATTACCCGAGTTCAATCGCCTCTTATTTCCTCCTGAATCAGGTTTTGATCTGTTATTGTTGTTCCCAAATGTCTGAACTGTGCCACATTTTCAAAACATCTGTTTCCTATCTTTATGTCATGATTTTGCCCTGCATGTTGGTGATGAGACAGCAACATACACTTAGTTTTCTCTGTGTTTACTTCTAGACCAACCTCTTTACTTGGTCAGTTAAAGTCTGTGTGTTTTTCTTTATGGTATGTACAGGGTGGCCCAGGAGGAATGTGCCAAACTACAGGAGGGTGTTCCTTATGTTATAGTATGCCGATATAACCCAGAGTTGAACGGTTACGGAGATAATGGCCCGAGAAAAGTGTGGTCTTCTGGCAAGTCCACACACTGTACCGGTCAGCTGGCATGTCTTATCTATGTTTGTCCTTGAGTGTGGTGATGGCAGCTCACGTTAGCCCCATACGCTCACATACCAGAACGCGCAGTCAGCAATGTTACGTCAGCGCTTGCCATTCATGTGTCATGTATAGTACTTGGAACTCTTAACGACAACTTTGACATGGCGTGTGAGTTTTTTGTAGTTCAATTTAAGGGCTTCATGTCACTCACAAGTTAGTTTGATGTTACGTACATTATTAACATTACAGAAACCACATATTCCTGCCAGTTTTAATATGTATTTGGTAATCAACAAGTGTGTAACACCTGTCAAAGTTTCACACTTCTCTGGCCATTATCTCTGTAACCGTTCAACTTTGGACGTAGGTGTTGTGGGTTAAATCAGCATACTTTAACATAAGGAACATCCTCCCAAAGTTTGGCACATTCGTCCTGGGACACCCTGTATATTATCACCCAGTAGATTCACATCATCGTCATAGACCAACAGCTGATGTGTCCCATTTAATTTCAGTCCCACCTGGTTTCCCTGGACCTTCCTAATTGCATATTCTAAGGCAAAGTTGAAAAGGAGTGGCGATAAAGCATCTCCTTGTTTTAGACCATTCTGGATAGGAAATTTATCAGACAAATGTTTACATATATGGATTTCACTATAAGTTTCGTTTAAACACATTTTAATCAACCTAACTACTTTTGTGGGTATCCCAAACTCTATTAGAATATTGTACAATACTTCCCTCCTAACTGAATCATAGGCTTTCTTGAAGTCTATGAATAGCTGATGTCCTGTCTCATCATACTCCCATTTTTTCTCCAATATCTGACGAATGCAAAAGATCTGATCTGTAGTTGATCTGTTACATCGAAACCCGCACTGATGATCCTCAATAATTTCATCTATATATGGACTTAACCTTGAAAGAAGAATATTAGAGAAAATTTTATATGAAGTTGATAGCAGTGATATCCCCCGATAATGACTACAGTCAGTTTTATCACTCTTCTTGTGAACTGGTACAATAATAGACTCCTTCCACTGATCAGGCAGTTTTTCCATATGCCAAATATAAGTAATTACATTGTGGATCTTAGAACTTAATATTTTGCCTCCTGCTTGAATAAGTTCTGCCAGAATTTGATCACTACCTGGGCGATTTATACCGTTTCAATTTTGCAGTAGCACTTTCCAACCTCAATAGGGCTTGGATCAGGTATTAATAAGAGAGATCCCAATAAATTTCTTTTTCTTTTTTTTTATTGCTAGTGGGGTGGGACTAAGTCCCTTGTACTGTGGCCAAATCTGGCCTATTGTACCAGCTCCCAGATGATAGGTGAGGGTGATTGTGGAGCAGTTGGTGGAATGAAGATTGACAGGGGAAACCGAAGTACTTGGAGAAAACCTACCCCAATGCCACTTTGTCCACAACAAATCCCACTTGACCAGACCCGGGATTGAACCCGGTCCGCTGCGGTGGGAAGCCAGCGACTAACCGCTTGAGCTATGGCGCGGCCATCCCAGTAGATAGTGGAAAACAATCCTCTTGCAAACATATACATATTATAATACAGTGAACACAAAGTGCATGATCGAATACTGTTGAAAAGTTGTAAAATATATGAGTTATTTCATGGTCTTTCAAAGGACTAAAGAAAAACTTAAATGACTTTCTCTGTTCATTGGAGGCAGAGGCACTCATCAGGAATCTGGTTACTTACATGCAGTTATGAATTTAAACCGTTGATATGTATACAGTGGCCGTCTTGTAGTGCACTCAATTTCACCTGTTACTTCACGACATGTTTCAGCAACGTAGTGCCATCATCAGGTGCCCTAATTACGCTAATCTATTTCATTGCTTGCCTTTATAAATCTTTTTAAAATTATTTAAAAAGTGCGTATTTGTAAACTATAATAAATTTTAACACACTAAAACTTGTTAAGATTATTCATTATGTGTCTTAATTAAAACTGGCATGTGGTTCTTCCACTATGGGGTCGTTTTTCTTATATTCAGTGTAAACTGGGTCTAAGAAGGGAACACATCACAAGACACGGTTTACACTGAATATAAGAAAAATGACCCCATAGTGTAAACCGTGTCTAAGACGGGAACACATCACAAGACACGGTTTACACTGAATATAAGAAAAATGACCCCATAGTGGAAGAACCACACGCCAGTTTTAATTAAGACACATAAGATGAATAATCTTAACAAGTTTTAGTGTGTGAAAATTTATTATAGTTGACAAATACGCACTTTTTAAATAATTTTAAAAAGATTTATAAAGGCAAGCAATGAAATAGGCGTAATTAGGGCACCTGATGATGGCACTATGTTGCCAAAACATGTCATGAAGTAACAGGTGAAATTGAGTGCACTACAAGACAGCCACTGTATACATATCAATGGAAGAAATTCAGTGCAACAGGACGCTAGAATACAACATTATGACTTTAAAATTCGTCAAGGTTCATATAATATTGTCATGTTATCTTACCGCTATGAGGACTACATAAGTATTAACACATGACCTGTCAGAGGTGTCAGGAAAAATAATTTCTTTCCTTGGTTCTTTTATCCCTCTTGTACCTTTATCTCCTCTTTTATTTTCTGCCAAATTGCTTTCCCATCCCATTTATTTGTCCATCCTATTAAAATTCCTCTCTCTGTATCCTGTCAGTGACTTTAGGTTTTCTCAGTTCTAGTAACAGTGCATTTTTCTGAATGCGACAGTAATTGCCTATACGTGTTTTCCCCTTAACTTAGCAGTGGTGCATTGGTTCCCCTCAAACATGACAGGAATTGGCTATTAATTATATGCACAAGGTTGCTAAATGTAATGTTGCGGAACATACGGTGTAAGGCTAGCTACAGTCATTCTGAGAACTGTTGAGACTTTATGTTTTCCATGGGAATGCTCATGATGCATTTTTAATTAATGTTATTGATCAAGAAAAATCGTCAGAACAAAGTACTTTAAAATACATGTCTGCCAACTGTTTGTTTGAATAAAAGAAATAATAAAAAAGTACTTTCCTTGACTCACTTGTTTCTGTAAACCAAAGCTTTACCCACCCACTGTTTGTGGCATTGTTCTATATCATTCTACAATATAAAACCTGTTCATTTAGAACATAACCCAAGAATCAAGTAACCATTCAAAACTTTTTTGTATTGAGTGCCCTTCTCAGTAAAATATCAATTGTGCAGGTTTTGGACAACTATGGCTACCACTACGCGCTACATGACCGAGCAGAGCGAAGGTCTCACCTGGAAATGCAGTATTACTTCACCTGTAGGTGCACTGCATGTACTGAGGACTGGCCAGAGTACAGTTTGCTGCCTGATACAAACCCCACATACTTATGCACCAGGTGAAGGCCATGAGCAGGAAACTGCAGCTTTTCAGAAACAGCTTTGCTCTATCCTTAAGAATGTCATTTCCACTCTAGTCTTGCATTAAAGTTTTTCTTTCCCCAATAGTGCAGAATGTGTACATGTCATCACCCAAGTACTGGCGTGTGGAATGTCCTTCACCAAATTTTGTGAAATTTGGTTTGAAGTTAGAGACTGAGCTACAGTTTAAATTCAAAATAGAACAAAACACCTCCTGCCATTTGACCCTATCCTAAGCCAGATTATTCCAGTTGCCATCTTCATATTCAGTTTCTTTAAAAAAAAAAAAATATATATATATATATATACAGGATGTTTCACGACTTTAGGGCATAACTGCAGTGGGTGATTTCCTAGGTCTTTGTGATCAAAAAAGTTCATATAAACATGTGTCTGATTTTGGACGGTTACGGAGTTATGACCGTTTTTTCATTCCCGTGCACACCCTCATGTGAACCGCGTCTGTCATATGGCGGGCCACTATTTTTAGCCAGATACAGACAGTGTTCTCGTTATCTCGACACTTGAGAGGTACCTAAGGCGTGGTGGGTTGGTATGTCCAGCTGAAGCTGCTACTTGCCACCCATGCAGTTCACAACTGAGTGGCAGCCTATGTTGCGGCTGTTGGTGGCATTTTCGAAAATCAGCTTTAAGCACTAATAAATTCAAATTAAAGGTAATTTCACGAAGTTAACTTTACATTCATACTTCAAATGTATACCTCATTATGCTGGTTTATTATTTTGTTCCGTTTATTGTCAGTAATTGTTACCTTCTATTCTGAGTTTAAAACAGTCATAACTCCGTAACCGTCCAAAATCGGACACATGTTTATATGAACTTTTTTGATCATAAAGACCTAGGAAATCACCTCCTGCAGTTATGCCCTAAAGTCGTGAAGCACCCTGTATATATTAACTTGAACATTACTGGCACCTTCCTGTCTGTGCATTAGCCTGCCAATTTATATTTTCTCTTCAGTCTTAAGAGAAACCTCCAGAAAGGGAAGTGTATTCTGGTGTAGAAAATTGTTGTTGAGAAATTTATTGAATCACGTTTAATATGTACAATATATTATTGTAGGCCACAGTGCACAGAAAAAATTCTGTCTCCACCTTTAAGGCCGAAGAATAAGCCAAGCAAGAAACCAACATGAAGCAGGTACTGACGCCCCTTCTTGCAGGTTTCTTGCATGCCTCATTTGTCAACTCTGAAGGTGGAGGCAAAATATTCTGCCAAATTGTCAGTTGACTTTCAATGGACTACACAGCATCACACCCCAGAAGGTAAACTCTCCTGATGTTAGTAATTCGTTTTTAAATCTTGTATATTTATTGATGCTATGCTTTTTAGCACTTTTAATCACAGTAAATTAAAAATGAAAAGATAAGTGTGGATTAATTCTGATGTTTTTTATGCATTTCTACTCTACAGGTGCAGACATAATTTGCCAGTTCAAGTCAATGACCCAAGAAGAAGTAAAGTCATCACCTGCACATACTGCAGTGAACCCCACAACATGCCTGACATTATCAATAAGATTGAAAAGTCTTCTGAAGAATTCAGTCAAAATCTGAAGCTTGTTATGTCAGGCAAAGGTTGCTGCTGGGAAGAACTCGCTCAAAAATTTATATGTCATCTACAGTTGCTTGAAAAATTCATTCAACGACCTTGGAAAGAGTACAATAACTGCCAAGAAGCCATTAAACAGTGTTTTGCCATGACATCTAACTGTTACAGGTATTAATCCCTTCAGTGCTAACTATGTTAGGCTACGGTTTTATATTTCTTCTGCAGAAGCTATAAGTTAGTGTTTGCTTGTAGTTGAACACATGAAGGTTTAAGCAAGGGATAAGACTGATTGGTCTAGGGTACACTGACGGACTCCTGTTCTGCAGGTTCTTATCCTTTCTGGATACAGTTCTGATTTTTCCTTATGTCTTCAGAGTTCCTTACCTGTGACAGGGCTGAAATTTGTAGAATATTGGAAACATAAGCATCTGCAGTACTTTATAGTTCACTGCATGTCTGCCCAGTGACACTCATCACCTTGTAATAGGAAGTAAACGGCTGCCCCATAGCTCAAGCGGTTAATCGCTGGCTTCCCACCACAGTGGCCTGGGTTCGATCCCAGATCTGGTCAAGTGGGATTTGTGGTGGGCAAAGTGGCGCTGGGGCAGGTTTTGTCTGAGTACTTCGGTTTCCCCTGCCAATCTTCATTCCACCAATTGCTCCACAATCACCCTCAATTATCAACTGGGTCTGGTACAATAGGCCAGAAGTGGCTGCAGTACAAGAGACTTAGTCCCACTCCACTAGCAATAAAAAGAAATAATATAGGAAGTACATGGAACCCCGTTTGATGTGTGTTGTTGTCTCATACTCATTGTCCAGGTGTTGAAGAGGTGGACTTCTGCTGTTTTAATGTTGTTCTTAGTAGATGAAGTGTTCAGCTAGATATCCTTAGATGGTAATTTATGTGCTTACATTTTTCACATAAATGTTAATTTCATTTGAATATAATTCCATATAAATTCTTAAACATTTAGTCCAGACTGAGATGCACAACCAGTTCATCAAGTAATTAAATCATATCAGTTGTTAAGACTTCAAAGTTAATCTGTGCAGTATATATTAGAAGCAATAGCAGTGGAGTGATTAAAATTAATTTAATTTTCCTGCCACTACCTCCTATTGGGTATTAGCTCAGTACTTACAAACAGCAAATAAAAGATAAAATAGGCACTATTCTAGCTTTTGTCTACAGTACCATGAGGAACACCACAGAAAATTTTAAGTATCATGATGTACATGATGAGATCAGATCATGGGTTGCTTCAGTAACATTCAAATATGAAGCAAATATATTGTTGAATTGATTTCCTTGGTGGGTTACTGATATGCAGATGTGATCAACCACTCTGAGGATTACTGTTATTCAGGACCTATGTAAGCTCACTAATCTAGGTTTCAAGCATGGAAGGAGGGTGACAAATGAGACAGCAAATGATGGCATAGTTATGAGAAATGTGCAAATCAAGGTAGCGAGTAATTGCTAATGCTTAAGTTCCCATGCACAGAGTTCTTAGGACAGAATAGTGTTCTGTAAATTTATATACAGTGAATTCCCCCTTTTATATTTATATTTGAACAGAGAATAACCTTTTGAGATTAGCAGTTTCCTTGGTGTTCTATATTCCTTGTAGTGTTCTAGATATCACACTGTATCAAAACAATCAAAATTATTTATTCTTCAGAGGAACAGTCTGCCTCCTTCAGAGTTGAAGTGTTAGGGAATTACACAGCAGTATGCCAGTCAAGAATTATGATTTGTCAGAAATGCAGCAAGTTATCACAAATTGTGACTGGTCAGAACAGTGCAAGCATAATTGCAGTATCTAATGTTTTTAAATTGTTACCCATCCATCCACAGTCATAAGTTATATTGCTGCTGTTGTATGGAAAGGTTTACTAGGAAGATGAAAGGAACCCTTCTAGTCAATAGTTAACCTTTCATGTTGCTTTATGTAACAGCAACATTATTTGTGGTTAATGCTTGGTTGAGTAACCACTTGAAAAGGCATCATTCCAGTGGCAGTAACATTAGTTATGGGTTTTGCTTGAATGGGTGACCATTTAAAATCATCACATGCCATAGTTATGTTTATATCATTCTGACCAGTCACAGTTCATGACTCTTTCTTGTGTGCCTGTACTGACCATGTGACTTATTGTTCTGTCACTTCATCCATAAAGAAGATGTGAAAGATGTCAGTAATTCGTACCATTTCAGAACTGTGGTGCACTTATGGATGAGAATGTTAAATGAAAGAAAACAAACCAAGAAATGTTAAATATAGTTTATAATGTTCTGTGCAATGGATAAGAATTGGTGCAATATTTACATATCTTGTATATCCATGACTAATTATTGTTTTAGAAGATTTGTATAATACCTTGGTGCTAATTTTTTCATAAAAGCTACAACTCTTAATACTTTTTATGCTGAAAATTTGCTGCAAGTTCCTGTACAAGGAAACTGTTTGTGCCCCAATTTCTAGTCATAACTGAAGTGAGAAGTACTAAAATACAGTACATTTTGAATTTGTGGTTTAAGTTTAGTATTTTTCTGCAAGTTGTTTTTGTGCTTTTATTATTTAATTGTGGGACATTCTTAACAAGATTTATCTTATATGAGTATTATGTTAAACTGGAACTAAATTAAAATTGGAAATAATATTGTTAGAGTGTTTATGTAATACTGAAATGTAATCTTACATCTTGGTGAATTAATGGTATTATTAGATACAGGACTGATTTGTTATCTGATTTTTTAACATTATGATTTCTGTAGACTGGTTCATTTGTAGGCAAAGTTTGAACTCTTCAGGACACATGCTGAGGCTTTTTAAACTATGACAACCGCCTCTGTGGTCTAGTGGTCAGAGTTCCTGGCTACAGATCCAGAGGTCCGGGTTCGATTCCCAGAGCAACCAAATTTCTTCTGAGAGGCAGTGGGTCTGGAATGGGGTCCACTCAGCCTCATGATGATAATGGAGGAGCTATTTCAAGGAAATAGCGGCTCCGGTCTACAAAACAGCTGTGGGGATTCATTGTGCTGATGATGCGACACCCTCTATCTGCTAAAGTTGGCACCAACTTCACCGACAAGTGGCAGTCGCTCGGTCGGTATAGTTCACTTGCAGACTAAAATCACAGAGTTTATTTTGTGACTTGTAATGTATTCTTCATACAGTGTTCAGTACCTGGACCAAAAGCTGTGTGAACACTTTTCTAGCGTCTGCAAGTATTTCTTCTTTTCCTAAACTTGTCTGTGGTATCTCAAGTGATTGTTTGCTTAACATCTTTGTTTTTAAAGGATCCTTTTTATCCATATCAGCGTGCTCTTAATATGAAAGATTTTCCTTATAAGACTGTGGTATTTGGAACATGACACTGCCATTTTATAAGTGGACATCAGAAATGTTGGTATCCACCTACGGATCTGCTTGGCATCGTAACCTACAATACCACAAACATAATTTTCACCATCATGTGTGTGTGTGTGTATAATCACATATGAACATTTCTTGAAGTGTTTCTACATTCAGATCTCAGCATGTGTCTTGGTTTTGGATTTAATCCCGTTTTCATATCTCAGTACTCATTAGAAACTTCGTGTCTTCACGTAATCTGTTTAAATCTTTCTTCTTATAATTTCTATAATTCTGATGTTATTTTATTAACAAGTTATCTACAATAATATAATCCACCACAAAATCATGACATGGTTTCTGAGATGCATTATCGTACTCTTTTTGGTATTTTTAATTTTTATGTGTTTATTATGTAATGTTTTTTTGTGTGACATTGGTACTTGGAAGTTGGAACATGGCTGGTAATATATTTAATTCCTTCTTATTTCTAGTGTTACAGCTTAGTTTGAGCCTTGGCCTCAGAAACCACAGCTCTCCATACATTCCACTCCAGTTCATAGTCTGTGTGTGTCACTGGTAATTCTATCTGTACACTCACCTAACTGTACACCAATCCATGGTCTGGTCCCTGCATCAATGAGCAATAACATGTATTCTGCTGGCATTCAAGGGTGCAGGTGTTTTCGGATGCCATAAAACTGAACCCTTCAGATAACAGAGTATCCTCAGTAGAAAACTGTATGTCCTTCATAGTAGTGGAAGTTTGACTATATGTTACTACGTCTAACTGCATTCTTCGCCTATGCACTAAATGAGAATGGTCAAATTTTTCACCATACTCACTGGGTGCAAGGCTTAGTAGTTCCTAGAGCTGTCTAGATATCACTTATTTTATTTATTTATGGTTCATTTAATCTGTCAATAAAAATATCTGTCCCTCTCAGGAATCAAACCTCAGTGATCCAGCTCATACCCAGTCATGTTACTGAAACATCACAGCTCATGTATGGTGATGACACATGAATTCTTCAAAATATCTCAGAGTGAGATTTCAAGTTCTGGCAGTGATGAGTTTTAAATTTCTGGGATGTGATGCCAAGCAATTTGGTAGAGAGATACCAACGTTCCTTCAAACCCCATCTACCAAATCATGTGGCATTATGTTCCCAGAAGATGGTAGTCTTAATCTGTCAGTTTATTCCAGAGTTGAATTTGATGTCACATGTGGTATCACCATGTTAACACAAATGAAGAAACACTAATAGTTCTACATGGAATGAATTATCTCAACATTCTTCTCCTTCATTTCTGCATTGATTGATTGATTGATACTGTCAGCAATCTTGTAAACATCCTCAGAAGACTTATTCTCTTATGGTGTACTTAATACTGTGGCTAGAGAAATGATGAAAGGCATCAAGATGGAGGATCTCATTATTGATGCTGCAGACTCAATGTGATTCACGAATTTGGTTCTTCCCTCCACTCCTGGATACACAGGACTCCTTCGACGAAAATACTCTTTCACCATGTCAGTGTCAGTTATATCTAAGAGTTAAAAAAGGAAGATATAAGTGTTAATTTTTTAGCAGAATGATAAACTCTAACAAAATATAATGCATCTGATCTATATTCAGGAAGCACCAAGTTGTGATCTTGGCTGAGTCATTTATTTGTGGTTTCCCTTAGTTCTTCCAGATAAATGATAAACAAACAAACTCCGTGGCTTGAGTCCGCAATTGAACTACACCGACCAAGCGACCACCGCTTGTCAGTGAAGTTAGTACCAACTTTAGCGGATAGAGGGTGTTGCGTGGTCAGCGCAATGGATCCCTACGGTTGTTAATTTCGGTTTTCTAAACCGGATCCAGATGAATGACAGGAGAGAAAATAGGTCACATTTGCTCCCTTCTATATTCTTCCCATTTCCCATGACTAATATTGCTCTCATTTCAGTAGGCACATTATAACCTCTTCCGTTGTTGAACGGCCTACTGTATCTTTATACCAACCAGAAGGGTTAAGACAGAAAATTAAAACATGTTCAGAGTTAATGATGCATAGGGACACAACAGAACCCAAGGCACTGCATTTAGTTTCTTGTAGGATTTGAGGTTTTCACAATAGTAGTTAATGAAGATTTCTGTCTTCTGGGATATAACGCTGTGTAGTCTGTTGAAAGCCAATCAGCATTATGGAGGAACATGTCGCCTCCATCTTCAGGATCAAAGAATAAGCCAAGCAAGAAACCAGCATGAAGCTGGTAGCAAGCAAGCTGTACTACACGTTCCTCCAAAACATCAGTTCACTTTCAGCAGACTACATGGCTTTATATCACTGAAGCTATAACTACTTATTTTCTTCTTTGTAGCTTAAGGTTTCTCTGTGCTAGAGCACCATTACTCAAAAATGTCAAGGGGACGTGGAGACAAGACTCTATACATCATCTATCTCAGCTGTTTTACATGCATATAATGGTCCCCAGTGTCGTTGGGTAGGAGTTAGGAGTCAAGGTAGACCCCAGAGTCAGCCTGGGCATGAAGATGAAGGGACAAATTCTGCCTCTATGAGGAATCAAATGCCTGATGTGGCATGACATGGCATGTCTCCAATTTTGGGGGGATGTGCTATTATTTGTCCATTAAAATGTCTCTTATTGCTGCAGTTTATGCTGAGCCATGGCAGGATCACTAAGTGATTATGGTTGCTGGAATGGTTAGTAGAAACACTGGATGGGTGGTCAGTCCATTGCACTTAGTAAGGAAATCAAATAGGTAGGCCGCGCCATAGCTCAAGCAGTTAGTCGCTAGCTTCCCCCCGCAGCGGCCCGGGTTCGATCCCAGGTCTGGTCAAGTAGGATTTGTGAGGGACAAAGTGGCGCTGGGGCAGGCTTTCTCAGAGTACTTCGGTTTCCCGTGCCGATCTTCATTCCACCACTTGCTCCACAATCACCTTCACATATCATCTGGGGCTGGTACAATAGGCCAGAAGTGGCTACAGTAAAAGGGACTTAGTCCCACCCCAGTAGCAATAAAAAATGAAAAAGAAATCAAATGATAAGATAATTTAATGGTAATAAGACGGTATAAAGTGGGTCATGGACTTTTGTTTTATGAAAATATTATCAAATTTGTCTGGAATGACTGAGAGAAACCACAAGAAATACCAGAATAGCTGGCATCGCCTGATATGTGATGCAGATGTGTTCAAAATACAAGTTAGTTGCTCTAATATTGAACTGATCTCTTCACAACATAATACATTCCCATTATCATATTTTACTTATGAAGTAATCTCTGTTATTGATTTACTTGCTGTTTCTCAAATACAAATTTAGGGAATTTCTAAAAAGTAGGTGAAAAAATTGTCTGCTTTTATATAACTCGAAAATTCATTATTGTTTTCGTAAATGCCCTTGTATGACTCAGATCCTATCTTGAGCTAGCTGAATTCCATTCACATTCTTACACAGTTTCTTTCCAAGATTGACTTTATTACTGTCCTGCCATATGTTTCCCCAAGTCATTTCTTCCCTCAAGAGTTTTTGACCGATACTTTTTATGCATTTCTCATCTCACACCCATTTCATCTTCAATTATTTAATCACTCAAATAATATTAGAAAATGAAAAATTATGAAGCTTTTCACTATGTAATTGTCTCAATTTTGCCATTCCCTCAGAGTAATAGAACAAAATCCACAGCCATATGAAACAACAGTAAAACCGTATTGTTTTATATTTTAATCAAGCTGCATAGTAGTACTTCTCAAGTGAAATTTGCCCTTCATTCCATAATGAATATAATTTTAGATTTGTTGCTATTGTTCCCCAGTGCTTGAACTGTACTCTGAGACACTGTCCTGGAGCCCAACCCTGCAAGGTTCAGTAGATAAAACTTTGTGAACATACCCATCTCATGTTGACTTCGATAGTTTTGCTTCAAGACCTTGAAGTCATCTCCACCTTTGGCCAGGAAAGCAGTGGTTATAACATAGTAAGATTTATTTGGATCTATAGGCTCATATATTGGTACTCGACACTCTCCACACCTTGCTAATGCTCTCACAACACGTTTTCCATTTGGTTTGTGTAAGTCATATTCCACTCTCAACCCTGTAATTAATAAAAGACTAATTAATTGTCATGTCCATAGAACAAATACCAGTTCTTGTCTCAAAACAACATTTTAACAGACACATAAACTTAAAAGTAAAGTTTCTCTTTTGCCTGAACAGCATCTCACTCTTCACTCATTTATACTGTGAACTCTGAATGGGTCTGAGTTATAAGCATCATGCCCCATCTCCTTTTTCTTCAGGGGCAGAACATCCAGTACAAATTGTATTGGAGGCTGGATGGGCTCCAGAATTGTTTTTGATATTGTTATATTTTAGCGTCCTGTTGCACTGATTTAAGTCCATGATTTATTTAATCCGTCTTGCAGTGCATACACTCATTTATCTCCTTCTCTCTCTCGCACTACATGTTTCGGCATAATAATGCCATCTTCAGGTGCTTACTTATCCACGTCAAACCAGTTCATTGCATGCCATGTTCACACATTAAAATAACTAAAATATGTATCTATCATATACATTGTCAAACGTTAAAAATATTAAAATTGTTCAGGATACCACATCGCTACGTCGCCCCTCACTACGTCAGTCACGCCCATTCTCCTTTGTTGGAGCACTCCTTCATTATCTTGTGTGTTGTGCTTTTGTTGTGTCGTGCTCCTGCGACTGCGTGTGTTATACTGTTGGGCATTATTATGCCGAAACATGTAGTGCGAGAGAGAGAAGGAGATAAATGAGTGTATGCACTGCAAGACGGATTAAATTGTTTTTGATATGTTGAAAAGAGAAAAATCTCAATGGCTTGGACTATGGTGAGACATATTGAGAAAAGTATTGAAGTTTGTACAGTCAGAGTACCAGTAATATTCTCTCTTTCCTGTTGCTCCCACTTTAGAGCATAGGGCATCTGTGAAACGCTTTGTTTCACTTCAGTTTATTATCCTAGGACAGTTGATGGGAATCCTTGGGTGGGGGGATCATCCCGTCGCAATTCCTCTACTTACACAAACACAGAATAAACACAGACATCCATGCCTTAAGTGGGATTTGAGCCCACGATCACAGTGTTCAAGCAAGCAAAATCAGTTCATGCCTTAGCCTATGCGGCTTCTATGATCACCAGTAATATTATTTGAATATATCTGCAATGAGATATTCTTATCACTGTTCCTTCAAATACTTATTTTGGCAGAAACAGAAGGAAGGGACAGGCATATGTTTATTGAGAACAAACTTGTTATTTTCTTTGTGGGCTCTGAGATTCTCACAGCAATGGTTGTGAATAGTTCTATCTCCTGAGATATGATGCCATATGTCCTGCTTACAAGCTGATTTCTTGCTTGGCTTATTCTTTGACCCTGAAGATGAAGGCAACATATTGCTCCCAAACATTGGTTGACTTTAAACAGACTACATGGCATTGTATCCCAGAAGGCAGAAGGCAGAACTCGTTATTTTCTACCTCAAACATCTTTGAGAGTACATCATACATTGAGCAGGCAAGCTTACAGAAGAAAAGTCCTGTGTGGTCAACAGAATTTCTCTCGTGGTGAATCTGCTTCCCATGGTTTGTTGGAAACAGAATACAGTAAATTTCTAATCACATAGCAGTCTTGTGTCACTATCTGATGGAGAACCCTTGAAGATGAGTTAGACACAGCACTGAATATGATGCTGATGTTAGGGATCTTTTAATATATTTTGTATTTCATTTTCAGACAAGTTTCATCTAACCATTCAGTGGATGAGATGTCAGAAATGCGTAATTTGTCGTACCTCAAGTGTAAACCCGCTGCTTACCTGAATATTGAAGAAACTTTCCTTTATGCTCATCAGCATTATAATCAAACACACTCCACTCCAGCACCTCCAAGAGGTCAGACCCTTTCAGGCTCATTCGCACCATGTTATTAATGAATGGAAGTACAGCCATGAGATCTGCCATTGTCACCTTTCCTGCATCAGGTAAGACACTTTTTATGAAATTCTGTATTTCAGCATCCTGTTGCAAAATTTTAATTAAAACGTCTATGTATCCACAGTCCGTCAATAATGCAACAATTGTTTATTCATCATTTAACACTTAACAACATGTTTTGGCCATCTAGTTATGATGACTCATATGGATTATATTTATTTTTTGCATCATGTTGTGTGTTATTAACGCTTCGCGGACCGGACGCCTAGGCCTAGGTGTTTGGGTTTTAAACGTGGCAGACCGGTCACCTAGATTTAGGCTTTTAGGACATGTTATGTTGCAACACACTATTCCTCGCTTTGGTGGCCACGTGTCTGTAAAAGTATTGCGTAGCTGACCTTCGGAATGTTTGTTTTCCGAGTCAGCAACCTGACCACTCTCTATTCCCCTCTCACTCTATAGAAAAGTCCCTTTGTTCAAGTCTAAGCTTCTATGTGTGAGGCAAGATATTCTCAGTGTCAACATGGCTCAGAGACGAAAGCAGTTGAAGGCCGCGTGAGCTCTCGGAGAAGAAGAAATCTGTGATTTGATCTCTGATGAGTTATCTGATTTGCCAACTGCTTCATCTTCTGATAGCGAGGGCAGTGTCAGTGGCAGTGACAGGGGCCCCCAAAATATTGTGACCAGAAGAGAAAGTGAAAGTGACAGTGAGAGCTCCGATGAAAGTGCGAGTGCTAGCATTGTGGGGACAGCCACATGGGGTAAAGTGGACAAAACACCCACTTTGGGAAAGTTTACTGGTGATACAGGGGTGAGACAAATGCCATCAGACCCTACGCAAGTGTCTGAAGTAGCTGAACTGTTTTTTGGAGATAGTTTCTTTGACATTTTGAATTGTCTCATTTTGGTCCGTTACACTAATATCACCAATTGTCAATAGATTTTCCGTCAAGTGCAACAATATATATTTTGGTCACTTTTTTATCTCATCTGCCTTACATGTTTCGGTTCCAAGGAACCATCTTCAGAGGCACTTACAACAAATCATGAAAACACTGGCACAGCTCAACATCCACAGTATGTAGTTATTTGTGGAGACTATTACATATATCGGAGTGTAGAGCACAACACTTCCCAGTATCTTGAATGCAGGTATAGCACTTGCATCTAAAAAAACCACCCTCAAACCGAGTCGTCAACGTTAAAATTTAAAGTTAAAAATTAAAAAACGTTCAAGTAAAATATTCAGGCTCCTTCTTGGTGAATCATCCCAATGGGGGGAGGCGTCAGCACAGGGTTGTGTGGGCTTGTGGTCGGGTGTATCTTACGCGATGTGTATTGTGTA